TTAAAAATAACCCATGGAGGCTTTTCAGAAACAGAGAAAGGAAACAAAAGCAAATATTTACCACAGGCTACATCTAAAGGTTCAATAAGAATAAGTAAAATATCTGTATCTGCATTTTACACTCTCCAAAACGATCCTCACACGAAACACTCTGTAACAGCACAGTCCACCCTCACTTCCTAGGCGCTGGGACTCGTCTATATATGAGCTGTCCAAAACAGCCGCCATTACCCGTGGAACATGGCTACTGTTAACGAAGAACTGAATTCTAAACGTGCACTCAGTTTATGAATTTAAACTTTAGTAGCGATGTATGTGGTGGCTAACAACTTAAAATTCTCCTTTTTAAAACTATAGATTAATGTTTCTTTAAGTATTATTATTAATGAATACACAAAATCTTATATGACACAATGAAAGAAAAAGTTGTGGAGACTTTCGAAGTATGATTAAATATCTACATGAGATTATATATGTGGCTCAGCCTACATGTAAAGTATAAGTTAAAGAAGCATAAAAATGAGAAAGTTGCATCTTTGAAAGTCTAACCATATCATGTAGATTTAAGGCGGTGAGAAACTAATCAACTGATAAATGAGCTGCCTGAAATGTTAACTACTAGACAGACAAGATCAAAGATTGAAGGTGATGATGAGCATATCCAATAAGCAATCAGATAACTTTTAAATACAGTCAGAGTTAAAATGATAAGTGAGATTTGGCAATAGCTTATATTATTCTGAAAATAATATACACTGTGTGTGTGTGTGTCGAGAGAGAGAGAGAGAGAGAGAGAGAGAGAGAGAAAATAGTACAAACAGTAGAATTCTTTGGCTTCTAATATGAAAAGTACATTTTAGTCTGTACTTATTTTTTTCCTCATCATTTTAAATAATACTGAATTTCATTTGACTTTAAAGGCTTTGAAGCATGTCAAACTTGGACAATTTGGGTTCGGAAATAGAAATGCTATAAATTGGAAGCTCCTGAATGTACCTTTAAATTATCAAGTTTTCTCAATAACAAAAATGGGAAGAATAATAATCTCATTTTTTGCGATAAGGAACAATTAATTGAAATGAACGTAAAATCCTTTGAGGAGGGAAAAAGGTTAGTGGAATAAAAGAATATTAAAATTAGTCGAAAGGGGAGATACTATTAAATATAGTGACATATCCAAATCAAATTCAATAACAATGGCAAAAACAAAGCTTAGGAGATCAAATTATCTTGTTTAAAGTCAGACTAGCAGGTTGATAGCAGTATTTTTTTCCCCAAGTGTGCTTATGCCTCTAAAGACTGAAAGATGCCAGAGATTGTTTTTGCTGAAAATTGAACAGCATCGATCATCTGCAATAAGAGTCAACAACAATGAGCACTTTTAAGCGTGAACTCTTTACTGGGAAGTGAGTCAAATGAAAATCTGAGCCTATCGCCCGCTAGAGGCTTAACCACTAGATTTGAGAGATGAAACCTATGCTAAAACCAGAATTCTCATAAATGCTGCTTCTATTCTAGAACGGGTGATCCTACATTGCAACTGTTTTTTGTTTTGGTGGCCTGCTTTATTTGACTTTGAGCTTCTCAAGAGTTCCACTGTATGATGAAGTTCAGTGGTTAAAATGTGTGGATTCACTGCTACCGAGTCAATTCTGATTCACAGTGACCCTATGGGACCGGGTAGGCCTGCCTGAGACTGCCACGCTTTGTGGGAGCGGAACGCTTCAGAGTGGCTGGTGGTTTCGGGCTGCTGACCTTCCTATGGTTAGCAGCCCAGTGCATGAAACTACTCTGACTACCACGGGAAGCACTCAACAGGCGGAAAGAGAAACCTAAATGGCTTTAAGACCAAGAGAAATAAGGAGCGTAAGAAATAATAGTTATCACTTCTAAGTTACTTTTATTAGGCAGGAATTCAAATATACAAAGTGAAAGACAATGTTTTCCCCTAGCAATACAAATGTAATGATTGTACAATATAACAAAATAAAAGCACATGCTTCAAATATCTAAATCTTATTAAAATACTGCATATTTTCACATGAGTATTATTTAAACTTACACACCAACTACTAATGCCAATGATGAAAATATTAAAGATTTTTTTACCAACTTCTTTGATCTGAAACTGATCAGACATGCAATCAAGATGCTTTTATTACTGATGATCGGAATATGAGAGTTGGAAACAAAGATAAAGGATGGGTAGTTGGAAAATAAGGTACTGGTGATAAAAGCAACACTGGAAATTGCATGATAGAATTTTGGCAGACCAAAGACTTACTCACATGGACCTCTCCAGACAGAATACCCACAAATCAAACTGATGGTACTGTGAAAAGAGACACCAGAGAAGCTGAATATCATCAGACCAATAAATGTTCATAAGCAATTTCCAGCTAAACTGATGAAATTATAACGCATCCATGATGGCCAAACACGACCTTGAGTATATGCCACCCGAATTTAGGGTCCATCTCAAGAGCATACTTGATGAAATGACCATTAAAGGTCCAAGATTCGAGGAGCTGTGGAGTGACATCCTACATGAAGAGCACTAAAGGTCGTTTAATAACAAGGAAGAAAGAACAGATCAAAATGGCTATCACAGGAGAATCTTGCTCTAGAGCAGGGGTTCTCGACCTTCCTCATGCTGTGGCGACCCCCAACCATAACATTAGTTTCATTGCTACTTCATCACTGTCATTTTGCTACTGTTATGAATTGTTATGTAACTTATCTGATATGCAGGATGTATTTTCATTTTACAAAGTGAACATAATTAAAGCATAGTGATAATCACAAAACAATATGTAATTATATATTGTGAAATATTTATTTCCAATTACAAATAAATGAAATTTTGTCTTCAAGCACGGTGTAGCATCGGTAATAGTCTTCACACCAGGTAGTCGTATGTGGGTGTATGTGCATGTGGGTGGACCCGCCTGGAGACGGATAGAGGAGCAGTGTCTCTGTTCCTAAGAACATCGGGAAATATGTATTTTCCGATGGTCTTAGGCGACCCTGAAAGGGTCGTTCGACCCTCAACAGGGTCGTGACCCAGAGGTTGAGAACCGCTGCTCTAGAGTGTAGAATAGCTAAAGTGAACTGAAGAAATGATGTACAAGAGCTACCCATAAAGTTCCAACAGGAAGTAGAGTATTATAGTGAAGGGAGACAGTATTATGAAATGTGCAAAGGTTGTGGAGTTAGAAAGCCACAGAAAGAACATGCTTAGAATTTCTCAAGCTGAAAGAACTAAGGAAAAAAGATCAAGGCTTGAGTTGCAAATTTGAAGAACCCTATGAAAAAATTTCAAATGATGCAGGAAGCATCAAAAGACGATGGAAGGAACGCACAGTCACTGTACTGAGAAGAACCGGTGGTCATTCAAGCACTGTAAGAAGCAGCATATGATCAAGGGCAAATGGTATTAAAAGAAGAATCCTAAGCTTCATTGAAAACACTGACACCAACAAAGGATCCAGAAGTTGAGATCAAGATGTTTTAACAAACAGATGTAACACAGAAAGTGCTCACTCATCTAAGCCAAAAATTTTGGCAGACAGAAATATTGGCCAACACACTGAAGAGATCCAATCCAAAGAAAGATGAGCCAACAGAATGTGGAGATTAGTGAACAAGTCATTGATAACACAGAGAAGGAAAAGTTTGCTGAAGATCACTCATAGAAGCCTATAGCACTATACAGCCACAGGAAACAGCCCGACCTGCCAGCTGGACTCGGAGCTAGGGATTATCCTTGCCAGTGCCAAGTGGATCTCAGCTGAAAGGAGATGATACCAGAAAGATGTTTCACTGACTAATCAAAGGCATCAGACTGTACGGATCAAGACCAATTAGGAGCGACATTTTAAAGAAAGGGAATCGTTAAACATTTCATTGTATTCGTGAAGAACTTGTATATAGATCAAGATGCAGTCATCCAAATCCAAAAAGAGCGTACTGAGTGGTTTACAATTAGGAAAGATGTGTGTTGGGCTGTACCCCTTCAGCAGACTTACTAAATGTGTACTCTGAGCAAATAGTGTGAGATGCTGGAATATGGTAAGAGAGATGTGGAATTATATACTTGGAGGAACATTCATTAGTAACCTGATATGTGCAGATGATACAACTTTCCTTTCTGAAACAGGACTTGAAACTTGACCACCTTTACAACTTGACCAGTTAGCAACATCATGATAAAGTAATAAAAGATTAGAATTATCAAGGATCTTATTTTACTTGGTTCCACAATCCATACCCATAGAAGTAGCAATCAAGCAATCAAAACACATATTGTACTTGGCAAGTCTGCCAGAAAAGACCTCTCAGAGGGGTTAATGAGCAAAAATATACTTGGAGGACAATTCTTACAAGTGAGAAAGCCTGTCAATGCGTGAAGAAAACCAAAATGAAGCTGCCTCGGCATTACTGTGCCAGCAGAGAGTGCTGAGTGTACTACAGACCGACAGACGAGTGAACAGGTCTTTTTTGGAGGAAGTACAATCAGAATGCTCTTTAGAAGCGAGGATGGGGAGACTCTGTCACATGTACCTTGGACGGGTACCAGGAAAGACCAGTCACTGTAGAAGGACATCATATCTGGTTCAGTAAAGGTTCAAGGAAAAAGAAGACCCTCAATGCGACGGATTAACAGAGTGGCTGGAACAATAAGCTCAAATATAACAACAATCATGAACATGGAAAAAAATCAGGCAGTGTTTATTCCACTGTACATGGGGTTGCCATGAGTCAGAACTGATGAAATGAAACCTAACAACAATTAAAATATGATTTTAAGATGATTAATAGTCTAATAATTTATTGTAAAATCGGGCACACAAAAATATACTAAAAATAATATGTGTTATAAAATTAGGTCAGCTTAGGCTGTTATTAGGTTTTTCTATGAATTTTATATTTTGTTAGAATTAAAAAGAAATAACACCAATTTGAATGATTAAAAGTAACTTGCAAATGATTTTACATACGTTCTTTTGACATCTTGTTCAATCATAGATCGAAGTTCCTTATCTTGGAAGAATTTGTTCCACAGACTCTGCAGTTAGTAAAACAAACAGCTTTAGGAAAAGACCCACACTTTTGCTTAACGTTAAAATTTTAATTTAACATTTAAATTTAGCTTTCTCAGAGTGATTATTGCACGTTGTTGATAGGGAATCCAATACAGTGATACTTTAACATCTAGTTTAACCTCGTAAACACTTTATTCCAATAGCGATACCTCCAGTTGGATATTCTTATGCGAGAAGGCTTCAAAAGGTTCATGAGAAATGTCTATTCAATTTGTGAAGCTCCTTCACAGGTCTTTTCTTAATTTCTGTCTGTAATTTATATAAACTGAATAAAGCTTTTCACTGCAACCAAATGGTCTGTGAGGACAACAGCAGGGACCACAGGACAAAGGGGTCTTAACAAACCTGCCCTGACTCAAATGCTCTACAAAAGTGATGAAAATCTTGCTTTGTAGTCCCGTATATTTTTATGCACTTTAAAAAATGTGGATTCAGGTAAATTTTTTAAAAGTAATAAACAATAGCTTATGCTCCTATGTATACTAATTATATATATCAGAGAAAAAATGCTAATATTATGCATGAAACAGTATGGGCGGGCAGGTGGGGGGTCTCTTCTCAGGGAACTAGGCAAATGATAGAGACACACTGTTGGAAAAGTTATATAACATCTTTTAAACCACAACCCAATTCACTTCCATGGAGACATTGTTGACTCATATCAACCCTTTTGGAGTTCTCAGACTGTAACTGTTTAGAGGACTAGAAAGACCAGTCTTTCTCCTGCGGAGCTGCTGGTGGTTTCAAACTGATGACCATGCAGACTGCAGCCCAACTCGTAGCCACTATACCAACAGAACTCCCCTTGTCTTCATTAGAATACAAGCAGAAGTAGGCCTGGTTTTTCAAATAACCTGTTCACAGACTCACTACTACAAAGGGTGACTTCTTCCTGGGAGTGCATCCTGCCATGAGAACCTTCTCCAGTCTGAGTAGGGTAGGGTGTTTCCTTTGCATCCTTCTACCCTTTTGTTTCATTATTGGATCCGAAACACCTCTGGATCTGCCCCGCTATGATACCATCCCACAGAAATAGGTTATAGCTTCTTAGAACACATTATGTACTCAGCATACTTTGAAGCACTTTTGGGGGGCGGGGAAGGAAGGGGATACTGGGTACAGACACAATGCTTTCATGGTGATTTTGATAACCAATCTCATGAATACGCTCCTTGGAGCAAAGGATGTGAGGAGAGGTAAAACGGAAGACTCTTGAACTTTACCCCTTCATCCTGTGAAAGGGGATTATTGATCATCAGGTCTTGCTGGCCAACAACCTTCCTGGGGTTTGTGATGTGCTGGTAGAGGAAACAAAAGAAAACACACAAAGGTGAGGGGCCACAGGACTCTGAAATGTATCGAAGAGAAAAATTACAGTAATTAAAATACAACTTACTATTTCCTTCACGTTGCTATACCATGCTCTTAATTCTTTGATTCTGCTGATCCACTGACTTTTATCTTGTGGAAGAACACAGAGAAAAAGCTGCCAGAAAAAAGGGGGAAACTTTCATAAGGACCATGAAAAGGACAATGTGAAACTACCTGGCCAAACAGAATCACTGAAAATTGAAAGATACTAATATTCATGGTATTTCACATTCATATCACCATTGCCTTTCCCAATAATTGATACTTGTGGCCAGTGAAGAAACATACCATGGAACAATTTAAAAAATGAATAACCAAAGGTGGAAAGATCCCCATGCTACACCACAAAGCGAAACCAATCTTCTTCTCAATTTCATATTAAAAACCAATGACGAGAATGCACTGAGGTTCAAGCAAAATTCCCATTTTACAATCTACTCTTAATGGGAGAGTTTAGGGGGACACTGATAAGCACAAGGTTCCATTAGTCATATCCAGGTTTACGTTTATCTTAAAATGAGCGAGTAAAGTGTAGAGAAGAACAGCCTAAGGGCAGAATCAAAGAAGTGAACCTATTCCTTTCACAGCAGAAAATGTAATTTACAACTGGCAATCAGTTTACGAAAATAACAAGCATTCTTAAAAAGACAAATTTGATTTAATTTACTTTAATACAACATTAAAATAAATCTGGATCGGGGTTTATTTTTAGCAAAGGCAAGATACTAAAAGTTAAACAACAAGGAATGGGGGTGCGGCCCAATATTTGTACACAAATAGTCTAGCAGCAGGTCTCCTGCCTTTACTGCCTGCATCTAACAGAAGAATAATGTATTTTAATTATTAAATCTAAATTATTAAACCTAAACGTGTCTAATAGATCATACATTCCTTCACTTGCACACACTCAGTATGTTCAAATTCTGCAGATAAACCCTAAAATCTTTGGAATAGGAGTTATTTTACAAATGAGTCTAAACCCAAATTAATTATATAGGAGAGCAAAAAAGGGACAATAATTCAAAGCAATTAAAAAGATAATTGCTGATTATTTATTCAATTTCCTTTCACTTCTCCTTCTTGCTGCCCTTCACTTCGTGTTTCTAGTTAAATAATAATAATAATAACGAAATCCTTACCACCTGCTATTAAGAATGCAGGGAGGATGGATCATGGTGGCCCTTGAGACATGAAGAAGGGAACGTTAATCACCACCTCACCCTTCACCTGCCCAGCTCCCAGGCTTTCTCTAAATGCCTTGGGGGTGGGGCGGTGGTGCCAAGGTGTTGCTTTGACTTCTACACCATCAAATGAGATGCACAGGCAATCACTTCAAATGACTCCTTTACCATTAGTAGTTATTCAGGACTACAGTGATTCCACCTTATTAGCAAATGTCCTATGAAATATAAAACTGGATGGCCAAAAAATTGGGAGTGAAGTCTCTTGGAAAATTCAGTGATCCCCTGCATGGGTAATCTTCCAGGGTACCAGGTAATGTGTTGATACATTGCAACCACAAAGTGTAAATAAATATTTTCTTCTTACCTTCCAGCAAATACTGCGGAACCTGCTGCTTCTCAGCTGCCCATTAATCCCCTTCAGCCTTATTGTTGCCAAGTAATTGTTGTTTACAAATAGTTCTTCCCATTCTTTCCTATGTGCAAGAAAACCAAACCATGGGGATCCTTTTGTTAAAATTCTGCTGCTTGAGAAGGAGGGTTACAGGAAATCTATTTTACAGAAATCTAATGAATGCAACTTTTAAAACCAACAGCTTTAGTTGTGTGCCGCTTTTGAACGCATGGCTGTCTTTTTGGACACGGTTCTTCTGTAGGTTTAATGAATATGGAGATCGCTATAATTATGCCAGCTACTAAAATTCATAATGTCTATGGAGGCTATTCCATTTCCTCCAAAATGTTGATAGTGCAGTTCGGTGAATACACAAGAAAAAAATGAATATTAATATAAGCATGTAACTACTTTAGCCATTGACAAAGACATACCTGCTCCAAAAACATCCAACAAAAAAAGTGCACTGTTGATGATACTGGCTTCCCACATGAAATATTTGTGTAAATGAACTCATTGCTCTTAAATGTCAGGAGAGGCCGTTAAGCATAATAGAGGACTACTTGCTTTAACTTTTAGTGCTATTTACTATTGAAATCTCTGCAACTTCTTTCTACATGATCAGTTTTAAAATTTTAACAGGTGTGGGCAAATTTGAAAAAAAAAAACACCCCAAAATTAAAAAGCCTCACTGTATCAACTGTGAAAGGCAAGCTTGAGTACCTTACAGTACCTATGGCTGACTAGATAAACAACTGAAATATGCCTCCCAGGCACGCAGGCACCAGGGGCCTAACACCTGTGCCTCATTAATATACAAGTAAATCTGCTCTACTGGGAAACAATTGGAAATTAATTGTCCCAAACCATTTACTGAGTTTGAATAAAGAAATTAGACTTATATTTCCTGCATCCTGCACCAAACGAATCATCAAGAATTATTTGTCAACAGTCGAGGTTAGTAATTTCAACTTTATGGAATTTCTCTCAAATTCCGCCATGCTACAATAAAATAAATGTATAATTTAACATCCATTATCAGAGCTGAAAGCCTGGCAATCTCGTAAGAAAGCCCCTAAAACTCTCAGCCGTCCTTCTGCAGAAACGCAGTTGTCATTGGCCAGCACCTTCCTCCTCCTGTGAAGACCACGAGGGGAACCAACTACCCCAGTCAACTGCCAAAGCCAGACCAAGAGGCAAGGTGTGTCACCTCTGCGGGGCCTCACAACAGTGGCCAAAGGCAATGGCACACTCTCCATTGGCACGGGCATGATAACTTTGTTTTCCACCCTGCTCTGTGGTTCTGTAACCACGCCAAGCCTTCTGCTAGTAGGGGCTTGTGGTTAAATATGTACAAAGGGAAGCACACTCTAGCCCCAGACTGAAGGAAATACACTCTCACCACCACGGTATGAATGAGAATGTCTTATCCTCTTCACTATATTCCTATATAATACTACATTTTCATTTTTATTATGAGTGCAACCGAAAATGTATTGTGATTTTTGGCCATTTTAAATGATTCTTTTCTTAAACTTCCTGGCTTTTTAAAAAAAAACCTATTTTATATCACGGACATGCTCCCGAGTTCATAGTCAGCATTGCTGCTTATTAAGTGTACATAAAACCGGCCAGCCACTGAGATGCTTCCCCGTCCCTTAGTCTCCTCATCTATAAAACGGAATCATAATAGTGTCTATCTCAAATAATTATTCTGAGGATTAGAGCTTGCATGAAAGCCCTTGGAAAGGTACACAGTTTATCATAACTTATAAAAGTACTATATTAATTAGGGTACCTTCTTATTGATCTATGGCAGAAATTCTTTATACATTAAAGATATCACATGCATACCTGCCATATAGGCATGCGTGTGTGCACACCCCACTTCTACCCGGTTGTCCTGATTTTCAATGGACTAAAAGTTGAATTTAGTATTGTTTGAATCTAACATTATCCTCTCTTGTGGTTCTTTCCATGTTTAAATAGTTCTGAGCCACTCTAAAATCAAGGATTCACTGAAATTTAGATTTTTTTACAAAGACTTCAGTCCATTTTTAATCACCAAGAGTATCTTAAATATAGTTTCCACTTCTACACAATGCCACATGCACAATTCACATTTCACACTGCTCAACATTCACTTTTATCCAGTTTTCCAGCTTTTAATCATATTCAAAATGAATAAATAAGTACATGAGAGGAGCACATCTCTGAAGCCATAAGTTTATCTTTAAACTTGAGGCCTATGAATGAAATACGTGGACTTCATGGGATGTTAAGGCCTAAGAGGAATCAAAAATCTTGAAAGGCCAGGCAATCCCCTGAACCTGAAAACACCGAACCACAGTGCAGGTCGGAAAGGGAGGCATGCAGAAGGCGATGACACCTGGAGCCCCTTCCAAAATCAGCTCCCATTCCTAAGCGCCAGACATGGTGCGGGTTCAGGCATGGCTGGTGCCGGCACGCTCTGCCATCTTGTCAAGAACAGCAGCAGCTCTCAAGGTCAAGTTATGTGCTACTTAGTAATGAAGGAGAATTAGCTGTTAGCTTAAATAAGACCTTGTGCCTTGATTACAGTGTTGGGGAGGCATGTGAAATGGAAGCATCATCTCTGAAAACCACAATCATCTAAATTTATTCATGGGTACTCATGGCTCCAATTAAGGGATGACATCTCAAGCTGATGACGAGTTCTAACATAAAGGCCAGAAGATATTTGACTGTCTTTCTCTTTTATGTAATCGGCTTTCAGCAAGAAACAGTGACCCAGAATAAAACACGTACTAAGTGCCTCCTATGTACTTAGCAGAGTCCCTGGTGATGCAAATGGTTAAGTATTGGGCTAACAGTTCAAATCCACCCATCTGAAAAAATGGCCTTGATGACCGGCTTCCTGTGGAGAACGGGTCTACTTTGGAGCACACGGGTCACCAGCAATGTTTGGATATGCCCAGAAGCAGCAGCTTCACATTTTGATGTGTTTTGTTTAGTAAAGGTCTCTATGATTTTGCATTATACATATTTACTTACCTTCATATATGTACATAAGAGAGCTTCGAAAAGTTTGTGGAAAAATAGAATTTAAAGGTCATATATTTTTTCCAGAAACGTTTAAAATTCCCATCAATAGAAAAGTAAAAAGTCCCAGAAATACTTTTAAAAAGATAACCATTCTACTTGAGCCCTTAGTATCAGCTCCTCATTTTTTCCCATCCCTCCCTGCACCCCCTCTCCCCTGAACCCTTGATAATTTATAAATTGTTATTATTTTGTCATATCTTACACTATCTGACGTCTCCCCTCACCCTCTTCTCCGCTGTCCGTCCCCCAGGGAGGAGGTTATATGTAGACCTTGTAATCTGTTCCCCCTTTCTCCCTCACCTTTCCTCCACCCTCCTGATCTCGCCACTCTCACCACTGATCCTGAGGAAAATGATTGAAGAAGAAAAAAATTAGAATTTATCAAGGGGTTAATTTATAATTATAATTTATGTGTTAAGGGGTAAAAAGAGGAGCTCAAATAGAAAGTAAATGTTTAGAAAATAATGATGGCAACATATGTAAAAATATGCTTGATACAATTAATGTATGGATTGTTTTAAGTGTAAGAGCCCCCATTAAAATGATTTATTTTTTAAAAATATGACCTTTCATTAAAATACTAAAAAAATCATTTATAACCTATTTAGACAAATTATTTTTAATGATCATCCTATTGCTACTGTTGTTAGATGCTATTAGGTCAGTTCCAATTCATAGCAACTCCTTGTACAACAGAACAAAACACAGCCTTCGCACAATTCTTGTTCTGTTTTAGCCATCAAGTGCAGGCACTATGGAAATCCATCTCATCAAGAGTATTCCTCCTTTCCCCAAATCCTTCATTTATCCAAGCATAGTATTCTTTTACAGGGACTGGGCTTTCGACTCTCATAAAGAGTTACAGTCTCAGAAACTCACAGCATCCTATGAGTCAGCATCGACTCAATAGCAGTGAGTTTAGTTTTTGAGTTTGGTCTCTTCTGATAACAAGTAAAACAAACAAACAAACAAACAAACAAACAACAAAGTCTCCCTATCCTTCTAAGGAGCATTCTTGGCTGTACTTCTTCCAATGCAGATGTGTTTGTTCTAATGGCTGTCACAGTATATTCAATATTCTTTCCCAACACCATAATACAAATGCATCAGTTCTTTTCCAGTCTCAGTTGTTTATTGTCTAATTTTCACTTGCATATGAAGAGACTGAAAATACCACCATTGCTTTGATCAGGTGCATCTTATTCCTCAAAGAGATAATGTTGTTCTTTAACAGTTCAAATTGGTCTGGTTGATCCGAGTTGCCCAATGAAGTTTTCAGTAGTTCGATTCCTTGTCTGCTGCTTCCATGAGAACTGACTGTGGATCCAAGCTAGGTGAAATCCCTGACAACCTCAATCTTTTCTGTCTTTCATACTGGTTCAGTTTTGAGGAATTTATTTTCTTTACATTGAGTTGTAATCCATACTGAAGTTTGCCGTCTTTGATTTTCATCAGCCAGTGCTTCCAGATCTGTTCACGTTCTGCAAGCAAGGTTGTGTAATCCTGCACATCACGAGCTGTTAATAAATTTTCCTCTAATCCTAGTGCTATGTTCCTCTATTAGATTCGATTTTTAGATGCTTTTCAGAGCATACAGATTGAATAAGTATAGTGAAAGGATATAACCCTGACATACACCTTTCATGATTTTAACTATGAAGTATTTCCTTATTCATTTCAAATGACTCCCTCTTGATCTGTGGACAAATTCTGCAGAGGCACAATTAATTGCCTCAGAATTCTCACTCTTCTTAATGTTATCCATAGTTAGTTATGGTCCACATAGCTGAATTCCTATGCACAGTCAATAAAAGTCAAGTAAACATCTTTCTGGTATTCTCTGCCTTTAGTCAAGATCCATCTAATGTCAGCAATGATATCCCTGTGCCACACCATCTTCTAAATCTGGCTTGAATTCCTGGCACCTTCCTGTTGATATATAGCTGAAACCATTTTGGAAATATCGTCAGAAAAGTTTTCCTTGTGTGTGATACAAAC